CTCGATTGATCCAATGAGGACTGCTGGCTCGACGGTGTTTCAATCATGTTGAAGTACCTTCCTGACTGGCAATCCCGACAGGTGTTTCACCATTTAAGATTGTTTGTGAGAGGCAATCAGCCGATCATTATATTTAGGTATGAATTGTGAATGCCAGTTTATCTCCTGCAAAGTAACGTACTCCAGGTCCTGGGTGCCAGGAGTATGTGGGACGCGGGCTTCTGCTAATAAACACTCTCTTACTGGCAGTTGAAGTCGAGCCGCTGAACTCACCCATGTATCGAAGAAAGCGTCCTATGTGATTATAGCTGAACTCGCATAACCGCATGTTCGCTCGTAGTTTCTATCCATGTTACAGTGACCCCATCTGAATTTGTTGATTGTTGCGTTTAGCGAAGTGTTTCAAGGTGTCGGAAGAGAGACTCTAAACTACAGAAGGCGAATATTGTCCCAGTACGGAACTTGATAATACTCGTAAATGTCGGACAAAGCGTCTAACTAACGCAAAGCAAAACCTCCAGTAAGCCGACTAACGAATAATAGTAGACGTACGTATCACTTGACTGACAGAGACATCAATATTTAATTCCAGAAGATACATATTGAAAATTTTAATCTTGTTGGGATTTGAACCTGGGTCATCCGCATGAAAGTCGCGCGCTCTCCCTGTTAGACTGGCATTTTAGGGCGTTTAGTGCCAGCGTCAGGAATTTGGTGCTGGATTCAGTTTGAGGGGGAAGTTGGCGTGTGTAATTAGATGGGGTCTCTCCTGAGTTCTTAGAGCGCTCCCAAGATCGAGTTTTACATGTGATGTCTCATCCTGGGTGGGCTCTTGAAGGTCTATTGAACACACCGAGAGTAACAACTATAATCTAACTCGTCGGGAATAAATTGGAAAGCGCAGTGAAATCGAAACCTTGGGCCTTTTTCATAGGAGCAAACTGCGCCTTAAACTTAAGTAACGCCTTAAGTATACTTTAAGTAATTAGGGCATCCTATTTCGCTACTTAAGTAAGCACGTTAAGGCGCCTTAAGTTTAGGAATACTGAAGGCGCCTTAAATTAAGTATCCTTGTGAAACAGACCCCTTGACGACGATTGCTCCTCTGAGAGGAGCTGATAAGAGAGGAGTCCTCTCTTATCAATAGTATATATATAGATTCAGGGTACAGACCTACACGTGGTCATATCGCCTGTTGAAGGATCGCTGATGGGCCTGGCGGGGATTCAAGACCTGCCTTCACGACTGTGCTCCTCTCTACCCCCTTCTCCCCAGCGTTGTTCCGGAGGGGGCCATATGCGTGGTGGTGGCTGTGCGAGTGGGATGTACGAGCACGCCGACAGAGTGGTATGGAGCAGTGGCGCCAGAGGCGTGAACGCCACCGGCATTCTCCTATCGAGATCCACCCGCTCCAGTGTCGTAAAGTGCAGTGGCTATTTCCGTGTTTGGAAAGACGAGCCCTTGCACCCAGATGCTTCGGCTGAACCTTCGGTGAAAAGGTATAAGTGGGGATATTCAAGGTATTCAAGTCCACTCCACGGTGGGATTATTGGCTTCGCTGGGCGTTCTGTCTCCTGGTGACGCCCAGCAATGTCCGAGGCCACGTGTGACGCCGAGCATTTCGAGTCGTCTTCGGTCCGCAATCGATACAAGCTCGGTTCCCCTTCGCAAACTGATTCCACATCTGGCAAGGGCAGAATCTGCTCTCTCGAGAGGGTTGATGCCCCCGTCTTTCCTCGCAGGGGTGATAGTCTGAGGTATCAGGCCCTAGCCAGCGGCGAGCGGTTTTTATACTGTCTATTACAGTGTAACTATGGTGTCAAGAATAGTGGTATCGCCTGTACGAGGTTGTTGTTGTTGGTGGCCGGAAGGGATAGTCTTGGCTGATGAAGTTGCAGTTGACATGCCATAGGGCAGTAGGAATAGGTGTATTCATGCTTTCATAATACTTAGATTGTTAGTCCTAGTAGAATGTCACACGTCCCCGATCCGTCTACGGAGGAGTCTAACTCGACGCCTCTGGCTATCGACTCGAGTAGCATTTCAAGCGGCAAAAGCGTAGAATTAGTGGATGGGCCCTCGGAGTTGCCTGTGAGAACTGGCAAGGAGAAGCAAGTCGAAATACCGATTGACCCGCCCGGTGTTAAGTTCTCGTTTCGGACATTTTGCAAGTATGCTGGTCCTGGTTGGCTTATGTCATTGGCCTATCTCGATCCTGGTAATTTAGAAGCCGATCTACAGGCTGGAGCCTTCACAGGCTTCCAGTTGCTATGGGTATTGCTACTTGCTCATATAGTTGGACTCATCCTCCAAATTTTATCAAGCCGTCTAGCGGCAGTAACAGGGAAGCATTTGGCTGAGCATTGCCGGGCTAGATATCCTAAATGGACTGCAACAGTGCTATGGATAATGACTGAGATCGCGATTATTGGTTCCGATATTCAGGAGGTGTTGGGAACTGCTATAGCATTCAAAGTGTTATTAAACATCCCTCTCTGGGCGGGCACTCTCATTACTGCGGTGGATACCCTCACTTTTTTGACATTACATTTGCTGCACGGTATCAGAGTACTGGAAGCCTTTATATTCATACTCATCTTAACGATGATGGCGTGCTTCTTTATAGACATGGCGATTTCAGCGCCCCCAGCTGTGGACATCTTTAAGGGCTTCATTCCTATGGTGGCTAGTTATGCGACTATGCAAATGGTTGGTCTTATTGGCGCAGTTATTATGCCGCATAACCTCTACCTGCACTCGGCATTGACAGGCTCTCGCAAGATAGATAGAAGCGAGGAGAGGAACATCCAGCAGGCTAACAAGTGCGCACTCGGGAGGATTCTTTGCATGGTATCTTATGAAACCGTTAGATATGTCTTGTAGGTACTTTTTCATCGATTCAACATCATCCTTATCCGTATCTTTCCTCATCAACCTAGCCATGGTATCGGCTTTCGCCCATGGGATGTCTTCTCTCCAGTGCGCCACTCTCCCTCAAGGACCTCTCGCCTGCCTAGTTACTCCCGAAGGTACTTTCTTGTCTCTCGCTCCTCTCGATGACTAGATGGAGGCTTTCTCATTCAGATTGGGATCGTTCGGTGTGCAGCCCGAGTGATGCAGCTTGCCAGTGCCATACTCCTGAAGGTATTGCCGGAGTATGCGCCAGCATCGGCCTTGAGAACGCCGCGGGTGCACTGGCTGCAGTCATGTCGGAAGTTGTGTTCCGTAGCCTCTTTGATTTCGGTCTCTCGATAGGTATTTCGGTGCGGTGAAGTACATCTTCGCTGTTGGCATATTGGCGGCTGGTCAAGCAAGTACTCTTACCGGTGAGTATTGCTGTTGTTAGATGTTCTCTGGAAGGCTCCTTGTAGGTACTTTGGCTGGCCAATACGTGATGGAAGGATTCATGAGGTGGAAGATTCCAATGTGGTTCCGTGTGCTCATCACTAGAACGATTGCACTAGGACCGGCCCTAGCATTCGCTATCCTGCAGGTATATTTGTTCACGATCGAAACTTATGGTCACTATGTAGTTTTAGGGTGAAATCAGAGCCATGAATGGAGTAAACGCGTGGTTGAATATTCTTCAGTCGATTCAGCTTCCTTTCGCTTTGTTGCCAGTGCTGCACTTCTCGATGAGCCGTGAAGTGTTGGGAAGGTGGGGCTCTTTCAATAGGATGCCTGTCTTCCCACTTACGTGCTAGATTCGTCATCGGCCGCTTCTGGACAGCCGTAATGTGGATTCTTGCGTGCCTAGTAATTGGTGTCAACTTCTATCTGGTTATTGAGACTATCATCCCTCTGAATTGGCCATGGTGAGAGTCTTCTTCTGACACTCCGAGCAGCAGGTCCTCTACAGGTACGTTTGGGTAATCCTCGCCATCGTGGCATGCCTCTATCTTTGGCTGTGCATTTCTTGTGTCAAGGAAGATCTGATGGGTGCCGCTAGGAAGGTTTTCGGTCGATGTGCTGCTTCCATAGAAGCATCGTGAAGTATCCTCCATATGCTTTTGTTGACTAGATTTGCGTCTTATTCAGTCAAGACTTTTCGTATCCGGTATTCACTGTGTCCAATCTACTTTTGTTTTGTACATATCTTGGCGTACGTCATACGGATCGCAAAAACTGCCTCGTCTTATGAAGTTCGGATCTTACGTCGAGCGTGTTGGGATATGTCATCGTCGACCACTGACTTGAGGTCAAGTTCAGTGAGCGTGTTATCATTCGAATAGAGTTTTCCTCCTACGAAGTATCGACAGTGATGCTCCGGTTCTATCGCCTGGAGGATCATTTAGTACGTTTTGTGGCACTCGTAGTCGATCTCTATTTTTCTGACGGTTCGCTTTTGAGGATTTTACAAGCGACAACGGTTCACTTCGAGTGATCTGTTGCGTTCATCGAGTATCGAAAGTGTCCATCCCGACAAGATAACCTCCCAGTCGTAGAACTCGACTATCATGCAGGGACACCTCAGAGTCCGAGGCTCAGACATTTCAGTTCGCATAAGATTGACGCCATGATGCAAATGAGACAATTGGGCAAATAGAGGGAAAAGGGAGCGCCTCTATCAAGTGATTGGCTCATCTAAATGTTGATAGAAGATTGCTCCACGAACTGCCGCTGTTTTATGAGGTATTTTTCATCATTGATCGCTCAGAAGTTTCGTAGGAAACTCTGCGCTGTCACACTAATCTGCCATGACCACATTGTGCGAATTTTTACGATGATACTGGAATGGGTGATTAAATGTTATATTTACCATGTGCAGCGTGACGACATTGGAATACATAGGGGGACTAGCTCAAATGGTAGAGCGCTCGCTTAGCAAGCGAGAGGCACCGGGATCGATGCCCGGGTTCTCCAGTTCTTATGCGTTTCTCTGGACGAGTTTTGCAGTCCATCCTGCCATCGACAAGCGGATGTTCACCAAAATGGACTTTTCGGGTGTGACGATACGTGAGTGAGGGAACAATCTAGCTCAACTCAGTAGCGAAGGTCATGTTCGCCACTGCGTCGCCCACGGTCATGGTGTGCAACGGCGCGAATTTGTCGAAGGAGTATCACATTTCTATCCGTAGTTTCATAACTTCATCATCGTCCCTCTCGATGTCATCTTCTAACAGCAACAAGAAAACGCCGGATGAAGAGACGATAGCGGCTAAAGTAGAGGAGGAGAAGAAAGCTGACGATAAACCTATTGGAGAGAATCCCGAGGAAGAGGGGGGAGATAACAACAACAAGCCGCTGGATGACGAGGATATCGATATTTTGAAGAGTTACGGTCTCGGGCCCTACACCGTCCCGTGCAAAAAGGTAGTCTGTTGAGTGTGTACTATCACTCCACCTCTTCATCTTTTTGTTTCTCAATGCAGGTTGAGGGAGACATCAAGGCTCTCGGCGAGAAGATTAATAAACTATGCGGGATCAAGGTAATGCTTGTTGACTTACTGACGTCCCAGTATCAAGGAGTCCCTCTTAGGAGTCTGACACTGGCTTGGCCCCACCAAGTGTATGGGATCTAGCTGATGACAAAGTGAAGCAAGAGGTAGTCGTCATGCTCCTCGGTCGGGAACGGTTGCACATTCGGTGATATTGTCAGCAACAACAGCCACTGCAAGTCTCACAGTGTACCAAAATCCTTAATCCTGGTACGGATGATGCGAAGTATGTTATCAACGTGCGACAGGTGAGCCTTGAGTAGGAGTAGGCATACACATTCAGTGAATCTGACTTTCAGATCGCAAAATTTGTTGTTGGTCTCGCACAGCATGTGTCTCCTACTGATATTGAGGAAGGTATGAGAGTCGGAGTGGATCGGCAAAAGTATGAATCGAGTGTAGAGGCATGGACGGCATCACCGGCCTATCATTGGATAGATACCAAATTCAAATACCCTTGCCGCCTAAGATCGATCCAACTGTGACCATGATGACCGTTGAGGAGAAGCCAGACGTCACGTAATAGTATTTCTATCATCATGTGCATGAGGAGACGCTCAGATACTCTGATATTGGTGGCTGCAAAGAGCAGTTGGAAAAGTTACGGTATGGAAATTGCTATGAGAAGCGATAATTGCTTAGGACGTGTTGTTGTCAGAGAAGTCGTAGAGATGCCTCTGCTGCAACCTGAGCGATTCGTCCAGCTTGGTATTGACCCTCCCAAGGGCGTCTTATTGTAGGAACCTGATAGTAGCTAGGTTATGTACTGATGATGGTATCAGATATGGACCCCCGGGTACTGGCAAGACACTGACGGCTAGGGCTGTTGCTAATCGAACCGATGCGTGCTTTATTTGTGTCATTGGTAGTGAGTTGGTTCAGAAGGTAATAGCCATCATGGGAGAGTAGACTGTAATGTCTTTATATCCTTAGTACGTGGGAGAGGGAGCCAGGATGGTCCGTGAGCTGTTTACTCTGGCTCGAAGCAAGAAGGCGTGCATACTGTTCATTGATGAGGTCATATTCATGGGAGGTCACTGCCATCTACTACTATTGCTGTCAACGCTCTCGCCTCGGAGTCGACTTTTTAGGTGGACGCTATTGGGGGTTCGCGTGGTAGCGGCGGTAGTGGGTCTGAGGATGATGAAGTGCAGAGGACCATGCTCGAGATCGTCAATCAGCTTGATGGCTTCGACGCTCGAGGCAACGTGAAGGTACCGGCAGCAGCAGCACGAGCATGTGGAGTGTCAGTAGCCTATCTCGGCGTTCAGGTTCTGATGGCCACGAACAGGCCTGACACGTTGGATCCAGCTCTCCTCCGCCCTGGTAGTAGGGGGTGTTAATGCGGGACCTGGTCACCTGTGGGTTGGATAGTCTTGATTATCGAATGGTGTGGTATTGTAATTGTCATCACTCTGGTGTTCCTCAGGACGACTTGATCGTAAAATTGAGTTTGCCTTGCCGGATTTGGACGGTCGCACGCACATCTTCAAGATCCAGGCCAGGAGTATGAACATGGACCGGTAATGAGATTTATACTGGAGGAGATAGATGACCGTTTTCACTGGGCGTTTCACTCAGAGACATCCGTTTTGAGCTCCTCGCCAGACTGTGTCCGAACTGCACTGGAGCTGATATCAGGAGTGTGTGTAAGTTTATATTGAGTTAGGAAGTGTAAGAAATGTGGTATAAAATGTGTGGGGTAGGCACAGAGGCGGGGATGTTTGCCATTCGAGCTAGACGGAAGTCTATTTCTGAGAAGGATCTCATTGAGGCTATCAATAAGGTTGTGAAGGGCTACGCTAAATTCTCGGCAACACCAAAGTACTATTTTTCATCTGATAGGAATGAGTGGGGGAATGCATCAATCCACAGGTACATGGTATACAACTAATCGCGGTTAGTGAGCTGTAGTGACCATCCTATTACGACTGTTTCTATCGTGGATAGAATGCATTGAGTTGAAGTTGAGCATATCTCGTCGTTTCATGGTGGAGGAGTAGCTGTTGGCTGTAGTATGTCAACTATGAGTGGCTTGGCGACGGGATTGGCTTCTGACGGCTCCCTCTTGGCGGAGACGTTGGAGATGCCCGAGTATGGCAAATTCACGAGGAGGGGGGAAACGGGTCGGCTCATTGAGACTAAGTAGTAGTAGCCTGACGAGGCGTGAGGTTACTTTGCATGTTTATTGTGATCAGGGCTAAGAATCTCCCCAAGATATTTATGCCTTATATAATTCGACTAGGGGTAGTGACTCGGGGTAATATGGGGTTATTGATGGAGTCAGGTCCATCTGGGCCCGGCTAGGGTGAAGAGGCCTCTCACTGAGGAGGAGGTGTTGGGCATCGTAACGGCCCCAAAGGGCCCGTCTACAGGTTTTGGTAGTGGTAGTTTGGCGGACCTAGTTTGTATCTTGTTGATTGGACCTCAGGGATACTCCCGGATGAACTAATTGATGTCATAATTGACCGCACAGGGCGGTACTCGTCGGAGGGCTCGGCGGCGATGGGCAAGGCCCCTGACCAGCACATACTAGTGGTAGTACCAGTGCTCGGCTTGTGGGAAGGAAAGTGGATGCCGACTCAGACGTTGAGGGGGCCTCCATCGAAGGCCGCTGTGAAGGTTGGGGAGGTCGTGGCTTTGGCTGATAATACGGCTACTGTCAATGTATTGTATATAGAGGATAGTGTGAAGGACCAGGATGAGAGTCGACGGAGGTAAGGAGCTCCTAGTGTTGTTGGAAAGTGCTCGTGGTGTGGTATTAGATCCTTGCAGAGGATGATCATGGACCCTACAGTGGACGGCATAATAATATCACTACCTCAGATATGGATAGTAAGGAGTGTTTATTATCACCTGTGATGGTATCTTGTATAGATACCAGATCCCCAATTCACACCCAAGTCGAGTTCGTTACCTCTATACCCTGGCAGTTACTGGCTCACCTTCCTAGGCCTATTCGGCAGCGTGCAGGTAGTATTAGTAGTAGTGGTGGTTTGGTATTCCTCGTTGAGGGTTTGCTTCTGTGCTTCAGTCCTCTACCCTGCTTTTTACAGAGCCTCAGTCGGAGGCTCTGGGATTAACAGGAATCTGTGTTAAGTTTAGAGAGCACAAGGCGATCAGGCAAGCCCTGCTGGTCCTTCATAATCGGTAGGAAGGATGATAGCTAGGTGTGATTTGCTGAGAGTGTGGTATGTAGGTATCTATTGCATCCGAAGAAGGCTGATGATGGTATGAAATTGAGCTGGATTAGACCTGTGAACTATGGTAAAATCCTGAGGGAGTCGTCAGCAGCAGCAGCGCACAGTGAGGGCAGTGCAGTGGATGGCAAGGCGACTCCGGTAGTGATCTTTGGGCTGGAAAATACAGTAGAAATCGCCTTTTAGTCGTTATTTTGTGAGTGTTACGGTATATGAAGGTGTCTCCCCTGAAAGTGAGGACGTTAATACGTATATCAATGCGATGATAGTTTGCCCTCTGCTGTATCTTAATCTGTTATCATGGAAAAGTATCAGTTGTGGTAATGTGTTTACTTACTCAGGAGGAAGATCCTCTGCCCATGCCGATGCCACCACCGTTACCTCTACCTCCTACTGGGGCATCGATCGTATCGCAGTATGAGGCCAGTGCCGAGGGTAGGTCGATGCTTAGTTGAGATCGTTCTCAATTTGCATTGAGCGTGGGCGTAGTGGTCCAACATCGCCATCCTATTGGTCGTATTATTATGGCGGTTTTTGTATCAGATGGAGTTCTTCGGACGGCAATACAGTTGTCCTGTCCAGAGGGGGGCACTGAGGTCCCTAGTTCGGTGGCGGAGGCATTCAAACAGTTACTGGATCGTCTAGCTGCCTTGGAAAAGGAGAATGATCATATGGCTCAGGTGTGGTCTTGGGACGCTGTCATCGGTGATATCGTTTTTCTGTCAGCTTCTGAGCGCTAGAGGAACTTCCTCGGGGGTGACTGGGGTCGCGGATAAGGAGGCTGACAGCGAGGATGAGGAGGAAGCGGCATTGGAGCGGTATTGTAGAGGAGTAGTGATGTGTTTAAGATTGTCCCCTTCAGGCTTGGTCTCACGAGCTCACCATCGGCTACGGCATCCCAAGGGGTGAAGCGGAATAGTAGGAAGTGGGAGTCGCTGTCATAATCTAGTGCATGCGTGTGAATTTGTGTCGAGAAATGTGTGTTATTCTTGGAGATTAATGAGAATCGATCTGAAACTATGTCGCCTTATACAACTATGAACATGTGTTGTGATGAAAGTACCCGTTTGGGACTGTGATGATAGCGACAACTTGTTCACTATAATTTTATCCGACAAAATAACACCCATTGGCATATCAAATTCACACGCACTGTATATAAAGAATCGTAAGACTATCGTGGCATTGTAGGTCGATAGTGATGGACGTAAGAATATCGGCTAATAAGTTGTGGCTTGAACTGTCATTGATTGTTGTTCAACGTTCTCTTTGTGGAGTCCTATGCCGTCATATAGGGTGTAGATGCCCATATCGTATAGGCGGTATGTCGTTTGTTACGATCGTGCCTTAGGCGACGCGGTAGTAGACTTGGAGGAATCTAGTGCCAAGAGGCCACCATGGCGTGTCGGTGGTGCGTTGGGAGGGGGATCTCCTAGCAGTCAGAGAGGCAACAGTACAGACGTATAAGTTACTGGATATAACCTATGTTATCATTACTTGGATAATGGTGTTGGGTTTTGACTTTATGGTCGTCGTCCATAGTCGTAGTGTTTTACGGTCTCCAACTATGACGGGCACTCCTGCTGCTGGTCTACGAGTGTTGAGGCGCCGCCCTACTGCACCAGTGGACTTCGCCATAGTTACGAGGTTTATGGCTCGGCCTCGGAGTGTTCCTAGTGGGGATGGACAGCAGCAGGCACTATGCAGTAGGAGTAGACTCTTTTGAAGCGGCGAGATGTTCATTATTGAAGGTACGATACGGAGGACTTTAGATAGGGGCGACTACCGCCTCGGACGATGGGCATATATAGGAGCTCAGGTGAGAGGACAGCAAACTAGCGTATGTTCGATGGTCGTTGTCGTCGTCAGCTCTCTCTAGTCTGTGATACCTTACCACCAGGCATGGCGGCTGCCTCTGCTAGTGCTGTGACCTTGGCCAAGCGTGAAGTTAAAGGATTCACGCCGGGTAGGGCGACCTGGTCCACCACTTACCATCGTCGGTCACTTCAGATCTGTTATTGATCACCAGACTAATCGACAAGGCCGTCTCTGCGTCGTCACTATCGTGTCGGTCGATCTCTCTTATAGTGTACACAGCTCTCCATAGTGGCCTTTCTAACAGGGATGACCTCATCAGTGAGTGGAGCGGCACGTCGTACGTGTGTTAGTTCACCGTTTAGATGAGGTCCTCTCCAACAGCCGTACTAGTCTGGGGAGTGATGGTAACATCGTAGAAGTAATCGAGTTGGGGTATATGCTCAGGCCTCACAGCATCGCTAACTACAGGCTTGTCTTGCAGGTGGGCAGGTGGGGGGTCTACTGTGAGTGTGGATAGCCCCCCTTTAGATGCTATTAGAGAGGCTTGCGAGCAAGGACGTGTGTGTTCGATGGGAGGCTCTGTCAGGGTCATGCATGGCTATGTGTCTGTTGGTACTGGGCGATCTCCCAAAGGTGAGGTACTGGGATAGCGATCGACACCGAGACCCACGTGTAGGAGGTCGGTCGGACATGGACGAAGCTGTGTGAGCGTGAGCTCGTCACAGCACCGATGTCGGGGAAAGCTGTCCGGATATTAGCACGGGTGAGTTAGCAGCTGGCTTGTCTGGGGGCTGCCCCTGCCTTGGTTGTAGGAGTGTGAGAGGAAGGGCTCAATGATCAGTGAGGGTTTATTACGGGCGATAGTGTCGAGCCAGGCTGTGCGGCTAGAGCCTCCTGAGATGTCAACGACGATCATCATGGCCATTTTGAACTTACCTTCGGTGGATCAAGCTTTACTGCCGAGTTTAGCATGGGAGAGTGTTCGACTGTTGGCTGATAGACTGCACCAGATGCATACCAGTGACGTGTTCACCATCGCTTGTGGGGTTGTCGTTGTCAACATCACATTGCATGTTCAGTGTCTCCAGGTGCTGTGGTCGATAATAGCAGTAGCCCTGTGAGTTCTGTTCTGGCATTGGATCGGACGTTGTTGCATGCAATGGGAGAGGCACTTGCCATGGCTAGGCATAGGATGAGGGAGGCTACTCTACGCAGGGTGAGGGGTGTATGTAAAGGTAGGGGTAGTTCTTGTGGTGTTAGTTGTTGAGCCGACCGGAAGTGTGTGCCCAACTTGGTATTGACGAGGACGTCTTAGGGGTGATGAGAAGGCGATTGTTGAGTACTGTTGTGAAGCATGCTGTTGGTACCGTCAAGTGATGTTTCTGATCTGCAACAGTGATTTGGGTTATCAGTAGTTCGACTGAGCTATCATCGGTGATGGCTGGACAGAAGCACTGTCTGCGGTGTAACACACTGGGTATTGATCTCTACTAGGGCAGAGGCAGCGGTTGATCCCGGTTGCTACACTGCCTGTCACTCGCCAGGTGGAGGGGGTGTCGCAAAAGGAGTAGACGAGGATTCCTCGGAATACTTGTTGAATCTCTCGGATTGCAAGAGGGGATTCTCTTTCCCTAAGCCATCGTGTGGGTATGGGCGGGAATTGATGAGCAGTGGTGGATGTCGAACTATACACAGGTTACTGTGAAAATGATAGCACGTCTCTCTCCCTTGTACGAAGTCTGCGAGTTACCGCCTGGCGGAATGAAGTTTGCTGTCTTCGAAATGGATGTGGGTTCATCATTCATGGCTTGCAAATACTCATTTTGAAATTGTATTGGGGGTATTCCTATTCGAAGTTGTTGTTTAAACGGCAATGGCTAGCTGTGGTGATTACACACTCCAGAATAGAGTACTCAAGGAGATGCACAGGGAACGCATGGCTCGTATAGAAGTGAAATGGGGACTGGAAGTTCGTGTCACCATGTGTCACCCTTCAGTGTCACTCGAAGAAGGCATTTGTTGAGTATGGTGATGGAGACGGTCTGTGGTTGAAGGAACTGAAGGGGAAAGCACTGGGTACACCTAAGGTATCGATCTCTATCGATCGACTATTGTCAGGAACGCAACGATGGGCTAGTGGCGACAGATTTGCAGCAATGGTGGCGAGTAGTGGTGGGAGAAGGTACCAGGAGCTGAAGAGCTTCCTTGAGAACTGTGTTAACGGTAAGATGGCGTTTAGTCTCCAAGGCACATTGCTGATGTTGTCAGGTGTCGAGCTCGGGTGTGGGGTCGGGACTGCTGGTCTTATGCTTGCCAAAGTTCATCCAAGAATGAGGATGACACTGACAAATCAACCGCAGTGCATTTCCTTAGCAGAGGAGAATGTCAGCTTCAACAACCTTGGTGATCGAGTGACAGTATCGGCGTATAGTTGGGGAGATTCGGTCGAGTCATTCGCTGCTGACCCTCCAGACTTTGTTGTCGCCACTGATGTTCTTTATCATGCAAGTGTCTTCGATAAGTTTCTGAGCTCTTTGGAAGGCTTTGCAGGGCTCCGACGTGAGAGGAGCATTCGAGTGGTGATTGCCTATCAGCCACGTACTGACGATGATGAAGAGTTTGTTAGGCGAGTACTTCTACCACGAATTGAAGAGTTGTCTATTTTACGGTATGAGGATGATCGTGAGGTTGACTCTAGTACTACTTGTGTGCTCTTCCTTGGTCGAATCAAAGCAGCTTCAGTTTACTCAGTGCAGTGTGTGTTTAAAGCGACAGGTGGTGGGATCGAACCCGCGCCCTCTCATTTAGTCACGCGCCACAAAATTGCTACAACGCAGTCAGAGAGGATCACTGGGTTGATGATATCCTCAACGTGTCGACCGAAGTGCATGTCGATATCGACTGCAAGTCGAAGGATATTCCCACTCAGGATAAGCGAGGGGACGCCGCCTCGGCTGTAGGGTTTAATTTCAATCAGAGCTCGCCAAACTGTGAGATTCTCGGGGAGGTTTGAAGTTTCAGAGTAGTAGCTGGAAATGGCAATTGAAAATGTGTGGGGTGGGATCGAACCGGGCTGGGGAGACTCCTCGTTCAGAGAGTTTTGGGCTCACTGGTGGTCTCATAGTAGTTCTGGTGGTGAAGGGGAATGTGTTGAAGGCTCATAGCAATCATACCGCACCAAGCGGAAATGGGTAGAATGTAGGTAGTGGGCCTGTGTGGGTATTGAACATAGTCGTTGACTCATCTGGGTTGGTATGGAAGGCTATGTCGTTGGGCAGGCGCATCTTACCACACGCGGCCAAAGACACGTTTCGGGTATATGTAACTGTGTGTAAGTCCGCGATGGTAGCATCCAACGAGTTTCAAACCAAGTACGGGAACCTTCCGAGTGAGGAAGTAAAGCAGATCACGATGTAGCCATTCGTGGACAGCTCAGGGGAGAGCGTAATGATGTGCTCAACAGTAGTAGGGAAACGATGCAGAGAACTCTCATGCTAGCATCAGAACACAACGAACGGCAGTAACCAGAGGCGTTTAGTAGAGTATGCTACTGCTGGGCCTTAGTCGATTGGTACTCCCCTTATTAGTAGTTATATATGCTTTGCATTGCCTCAGGGTAGCGATGTTATTCAATGCTGTAGTTAGCGGCTTCTCGCGTATGCTGTGGTGAGAGATGATGTACAGTATGTCCTACATGTTTGTCGTGTCTGTGACGAGTGGGTTACTATTGATAGACTGTACTATCAACTGTTACTATACTGTTGATATTGTTCCAGCCTAATAACTCCCACTCATATTATTTTTATTATCAATAGTAATAGGTCTCTATCTTCTGAAGATAGATCACTCCTGTCTCTAGATCCTTCTACCATTATCCATCTCAACATCAAGCCTTGAATCAAAGCTTGATGTTGAGATGGATAATGGAGAGTCTAGGTCTACCACAGGATACGACTGGACTGATTTAGTCACAGGATGACGATGATCGCCATAGTGTGAAGGCAATCTCGGAATTGGTCTGTGAATTGAATAAGTGAATAGAGAGAATCCTTTGGCATTTCTGTATTAGATTGTGAGTTGGAGGTGGTATGGTATGACCCGAGGCAGAGGACCATGGGGTGATCGAAAAAGGGACAATTGTGTGCACTCTTGTGTCGATAGCTAGCCTTTGAATTTGCAAGCTCTTGATGCTTGTTAGTTGTGGAATATTACTCATCATAAGTTTTTCAGTTTCTCCAATTTGCGATTGGCCCGAATGGCAAACTGCTGTACATGTCTTAGCAAATCTGCTAACATCATATTCTGCCTCCTACTATTCGTCATTGGAGGTTTTGTCGCAGGTGTCGGGATATGGTATCTCGTCAGCGACTACAAGGATTGGGTTCCCGAGTGGTGGATTTGGATTGCCGTCATTACTGGTATTCTTCTGGCTATATTATCGTTTGTTGGTTGCTATGGCTCGTTGAAACGAAATAAATGCGTGTTGTCTTTCCTGTGGGTGGCGTCTACTGTGTTGTTCATTCTCTTCGCAATAGCTGCTATTGCATCTACTATCTTCTTTGCTGGTGTCGATAACCTCAACGGCAAGACGGCTCAGCAGTTACTTGAAGTTAGTGGCAACGATGGGAATGTGTACAAGCAGATTAGGGATGGTTACATTGCTGTGTTCACTGATGATGATTGCAACGTGAAGTGTAGCGTCGACGATGGTAAACTATACTGTGGATCCATCACGTGTGAAAGTGAGGGAATAGAAGATCAGCTTAACCGCTGGATTGGTCCCAGTTGGTGGACAACTGATGTGAACTCCTTCGAAAAGTGTGTTGCTGCTGCTACTGTTGAAGACAACGCTAATGAGATGGCCGCTGAAGCGTGGTGTGCTAGTAACACTTATGCAATTGATTGGTTCTGGCGTTGGATCTTGGGGACAATGATTGTGTTGTGGTTCATCGTTGTGTTCACGTTGTTCATGGCTGTTGGTAACTGCGTTTTGATGTGGTCGCATTCGCATCGGAAAGATGCTGTGGTTATGGCACCGAAAGCTGAGATGGTCAGAACGCCTCCTATGAATGGTTTCACAGTAGTTAAAGTATAGTTATATGCAAGGTCAGTTTCTTACGTGTTTCCCATTGAGTGTATTCTTTTGTAATTCGAGTTACTCTCTTTTGGTGGTAGTCGTCATCGGCTAGGGTTGAGGTGACGTTGACTGTTGTCATTGTTATTTGGTCGTAGTAGTTTTCGTGGTTGTTTCTTGTGGATGCATAATGCAAGGTGAATGTGTTCATTCTATTGTCCCTACGGAACTGTGTTTCTGTGAACAACGTCGATTTACTATGAACATTTGTGTTGACCTGTTGAGTTAGAGTCGATCAGAGTTGGAGGAGGAAAGTAAACTCTTCGAATTTTCCTTATGGAAAGATTTGCGAAAATTAATTTAGGTTTTTGACGATTTGTTTATAAGTGTGTTATTGAAAGTCTTGCTTTCCGTTAACGTTGCTATGTTGCGGTAGAACGGTTTCTTATCTATTGATTGTTCCAATCGAGATCTTTACAGTGCATTCGTATATTCCTATCACGTTATTTACTTCATATTTATTGTTAATTTAATATAGATATCTATTATATTATTCTATAACTAGATCATGATATAAGCGATCTAGGAAGAGTGGTTGTAGTCCGTACTCTGTAAGTGTTGTTGTCTTTGCTTTAGGGCATTCTGCGTAGCACCAGCCGTTTTAATTATCCTTCTTGGGAATTCACCAACGTTTTTTCAGGGAATATTTTCAGTATTAGTAGAAGTAAATATGAGTAAAAGGGACATAACGAAGAATGAATTCGACGAAATATGTTAACTTCAATCAACAAGTAGTTTAGGAATGTTTTATACCAAAACTTGGAATATTCGGTCTTAGTAGAGTGCATCTAATTTAGGGTCGAGTTGCAGCAAGTAGAAGTCTTGTTCTCCATCAGATTGCATCGCGTACTAGCGTCACGTAGCGCGCGCTAGTATTACATGTTGTCAATGTGAACTGCATCATTGCAGTTCTGCTGTTATTTTCAATGGGAGTTTGTGAAGAAGGATCGTCTTCTTCTTTATCTTTGTCATCGTCGTTCTCATCATCATCTTCGTCCCGTAGGCGCAATGGGGTTCTTCTCTACAATGCTTTTGTGTTCGCTGCTGGTGGGGTGGTAGCCGGCATTGCCATATGGTACCTTCAAGCAAAGTTCACGAGGCTCATGCAGGTGTGGTATGTATGGATTGCCCTTTTCATGGGCTTTGGTATGATGCTACTCTCAATCGCTGAAGTTATTCAACTAAAGCGACGGAATTCAGTATTGTTGATGTTAACTTGGCTGTGTTGG